GATATTATGAGCACAATGGAGTCCTCTGCAAAAGCTTGTAACAACAGGGGGTTAAGTGCTATTTACCCTAATTAAAAACATTAATACCTTCTGGTCATAGATGAATGTTCTAATTGCAACTGCCCACATATCAGATGTTAGAAGTGAAAGATTAAACATTGTTGCTCCACTCATCTGTGACAAAAACAAACGAACCTTTTCTTCAGACAACAATTCTAATATTTTTTTATTGTTTATTAAAATTATTTTTAATTCCGATTTCCGATTTCGGGTTTCCATTTGCATTTAAGGAAAGTGTCGTAAAATGAAACTAACCTTGAGAGAAAAAGGAGCAAGTGTATAGAACATAAAGCCTGCCACCGCATAACCAGCATAGCTAGATATCTGAAAACGAAATACGCAGATTATCGTAATAAAAATTAATTGAAAAAATAATCATAATTAATTTTTCTCATTATTTTTCTTTCTACTTACGAGTCCAGTAGACCACTTTGCAGAGACGAGGGTCTTCCGCTCCAGCACAATACTTAATACAAGGTAAAGGAAACATCACCGCGTAAAATAAAACTCGATATAGCAATTGAAAGACAAAAAACATTAAATAAAAATTCTCTGTTACGAAAAAAAAGGATACATTTCGGGCGCACTGACGAGCATTCCAAACAGACCAATCATTGCTATTACTTCCGTAAGATTTTTCCTCTTGACACAAAATTCCTGTTTCATAAAATAAATGCAGTCGAATATATATTCTTCACTGCATAAGTATTATTCGAAAGCATAGCTTAATCAAGAAACGACGAGTCTTAACAAGTTAATTTATTTACCTCACCAACATTGCTCATTGCGTAAAAAAGCGAGCCTGCAATGACGAGAAAATCGCCCAAAAGAGGATTCGAACCACCTGAAAAGAAAATGTCAAATATTTAAAAACATTTTTATATATATAACTGAAAAAGAATGTGTAATTACAAGTGGGGGGCCATGGCCCCCAATGTTTCTCAAGAACCTATTATTTTTTATAGGGATTGCGAGAAGAAAAAAAATCGATGGCTCGATAAAAAGAGTCAAAAATATTGTCACCTCCACCACCGACACCGGAATCAGAAAGAAGGACCAAACCGAGGCCTAACACACAGACAGCTGCCCCGAAAAACTGCCAAAGGGAATACTTTGTGCCCAAGAAAATCCGTGTAAGTATGATCGACCATCCTATTGTCCAACAATCAAGAATCGCCACACTCGTAATCGACGTGAACTGGTACGCTTTATTTACTGCAATTAATTATCGATAGATTTATGGAAGTTTTGATTTGGATTTATCGGAAACTGCAGCAACTTAGATATATTCATATAAGATATACCAAAGGTAAATGGGAGGCGAAATTAAATACTCGTTACCAAGGTAATTGCCATGGACATCGACAAAGCCTAGGAGAAGATACCAATACCAAGGAACCTGCAAAAAATTTCCACCTTATTCAAACATCAATACATCGAATCAATTCTCGACTACTACGGCAACATATGCCGATTTTCTTCGGAAAAAATTTTGCCAAATCCATAATTATTTTTTGCATTTTAATTTTTACCCATTTCGAAATGTTTGATTCAAGCATGAAATAACTAAATTCAAAATGGTGGGGTTACCAGCAATTTCTGGCGGCGGTACAGCATAACACTTCCGTACACAACAGCTAGAAACAAGTATGTCGAAAACGATAGAGAAATCGGCGCATCCACTGCATAAACATAAAACCCCTCCATTCAATTCAAGATCACAGAAACTTCCAATTCTTGAAATTAATTTAGTCTTTGACAAAAACAAAAGGCCAGTATAGAATCCAAAAACATAGTACAGAACACAAACAAGAAAGAATTTCAAGATTGGGGCAAAAAAGATATCCACTGCATAAATATAAAAACCCCTAAATTCAATCAAGATCACAGAAACATCCAATTCTTGAAATTAATTTAATCTCTGAAAAAACCAAAAGGGTCAGTGTAGAAACATTACAACATTCAAATTCACATAAATATACACATGTCCAATTATAGAAACCAAAACATAGTTCAGAACAAAACAAGAAAGAATTTCAAGATAATTAATTATATTAGAGCAGCAAAATACCGTACCTTGAGCGGAAGCTAAAGAAGCGGTGAAGGCAACCATTGCCAAGGAGAAAGAAACAAACTGCCCTAAACCCAGTTCGAGAATTGTCCGGCGAAGCCCATCGCTCTTCCACCACCAGCTGCCGCTGCCGCTGCTCATGGCTGCCTACTGGTTGATTGATTACTCAAAGTTGCTCTTACATTTGTCATATTATATTACACGATTTTGTGGGGTGAGTAGCACATGTTGTCCTTTGTTTAAACTAACGGTCAAACCTTGAAAGTTAGTTTTTCTCGGTTGGAAGATACAAATCTTGATGGAGGTGGGTTCGATTCCATCTTGGGTTGTACTATATTTATTATGTTTGGCCCTTCTTTAGAGTGTCATATTTCTTGTACCATTTTCTTGGAGAGATGCTCTGGGGAAAATTAAGGTTTTTTTTTTTCTTTTTTCTTTTTCTTGTTTCTGAAAGAGTAATTTAATTTAAGTTTTGTTTAACTATTTTGACATATTCAGTGGTTGTTGAAAGTTTTATTGAATATTATGATGTGGTTTATTTTTAATTATTTTCTTTTAAACTGAAATTCAATAGTTATTAGTTTTACTTTTATCGACGTGGATGTTCTTTTTTGGAAAATTATGAAATTTTCAAAAAATTTCAGCTAAATTTTGAAATTTTATAACTTATGATGTGATTTTCGATTTCTTTTCCGAAATTCCGAAAATTCCGGGCCTTTTAGAATAGGAATTGGAGTTGATTTTGTACTTTCGAAAACTTTAGGATTTTTTCTGAAAAAGCTAATGCCGATCCTATCCATCACGTTTTTACTCCTAGTCACCACTATTACATTATATATTGACTAAATACTAGATGTTAATAAGATGTTCGGTGGACAAAATTCATACTTACTCAAAATCATACCATTGTTAGATTATATATTGACTAAATACTAGAGGTTAATAAGATGTTCTATTGACAAAATTCATACTTACTCAAAATCATAAAGAACCTAAAGCCCTTAATTGAAGGCTACTATTTTATTAAATTCTAGCCCTAATCCTTGTGGGAGTAATTTTGTAGGGGTGACTAAACATTGTTAACACACTAATATTACTATCTTGGCCTGCAATATTATTGTCCAAGATAAGAATATTGTCGTTAACACATTAATAATACTAACTTGGCATGCAATATTACTGTTTCAGACATGAATATTGTAGTTTTATCTACTACTGAATCAGAATATATTGTTACAACCGAGGCCTTAAAAGAAGTTATTTGGCTTAAAGGGATTCTAATGGAAATTGATTTTCTTAAAGGTGAAGTAGTTGTCTATTCAGACAGCCAATCATGTATTCAACTTTGTAAATACCCGGTGTTTCACAATAGAACTCGACACATTGATATTAAGTTTCATTTTATTCGAGATGTAGTTGAAAAATGTATAATTATACTTGAAAATATTTCACCCGAATTTAATCCTGCAGATATGGGTACTAATGCTTGCCGATTGAGAAATTTCGGTTGTGTTTAAATGATATGAATTTCGACTCAGAAAGGTAAATTTACTTTGTGTATTTCATTTTTGTTTAATAATTTTATAGTTTAAATTTATTTTATGCAAATAAGTTGTGTACTAACTTTGTGTGTTGAGTGCAGGTACTTTTAAAACGACAATGATGATCTCGTATTCCAAAAATTTGTCCTGATGACTCATTTGATAAAGATAAAGATTATTGAATTTGGCCCAAATAATTAATTAATAGGCCCAGCAACTAATCCACTAAGTAGCCCACTGCACATAGAAGTCAGCCCAATAACTTAAGATAACCCCATCATTTGGACTAGATTCGGGCAGTGGGCGATTGCTACCAATTGGGTTAGCAAGAATAAGAATATAACAAAAACTTGATGTACATTATAACATCGATAAATTTTAATTTTTCTGATTCCAATTCAGCGTTAACATACTAAATTATCAATTTCATAATTCAATATTTCGTTAAATTAATAAACTCTTATACACAATTTTCTTTTTCTGGTGTCCACCTCTAATGAAAATTGATTAATTGTATCCACCTAACCCACCCACCCCCAACCCCCCAACCCCACCCCTAATTTGCGAACTTTGCTCCACACACATACAAAGCCGCTTGGACCACTCGTTCTCCACCACGCGTCCATTTGCAAGAACCAGTCTTATTGAAACTTGACACGCCACAAAAAAAATCATAATCAACTTTAATTTGTCTCCTTCATATATATTTTTTAAATATTTAAATAAAATTTACAAAAACAAAAAAAAAACTGAATATTAGAAAAAGAAAATGGAAACAGAAAAATAATAAGAATAATTAATTAAAAATCCTCCCTTTTGGCTCCATACAGCCTGTCGTCCCTCCTCTCAATTCTAATGATTTATCAATTCTTAATATTAAATTCCATATAAACTTTTGTCTTGTTTCTTCGATCCTTCCTTTCTCTCTCTATCTTAATTATTCTTTCTATACATGAAAATATCCCCCTTTCATCATTCGAAAATTTCTGCTACTTTTTTCCATAACCTTTTTCTAATTTTTCCCTTTTTTTTTCTATGGCGGAGGAGCATGGATTTGATCAAGCATCCGACGGCGGCCACCGCTTGTGCGTTAACAACTGCGGCTTTTTCGGCAGCTCCGCCACCCAGAATATGTGTTCCAAATGTTACAGGGACGTTTCCCTCCACAAATCTGCCGATCCTTCTCCCTTATTCTCCCCCGTCCCGTTGACCGCCGCGCCGCCGTCGGCGGCGGCCGCGGCGGCGCAGCCGATCACGGCGGCGGAGGTGGTGGCGCCGCCGACGGCGAGCAGGTGCTGCACGTGCAGGAAGAAGGTGGGGTTGACGGGGTTCAGGTGCAGGTGCGGAACGACCTTCTGTGGGACCCACAGGTACCCCGAGAATCACGGCTGCACCTTTGATTTCAAGGCCGTTGGGAAGGAGGCCATCGCGAAGGCTAATCCGTTGATCAAAGCCGACAAGCTGAACAGGATTTGATCACAGCCGTCGGTTTGATGAATGATGATTGATGAACGGTGACGGCGGTGGGCGGTGGTTATTAGGAAACGTAGGGGAGCGTGTGTGAATTCGATTGTGTATAATTTGTATTATGGTTTCTTAAATTAATTAATATAATTAATTACTTTTATTTCGTCAACTCTGCTATTAATATAAAATTATTCATGTATATGGGCCTTGTTCGTAGTAGCACATCTTGCTTGGTATTATTGGTATTTCTATTGGCCCAAAAACAAATTGAAACGAAATTTTCGGTTTTGGAACAATGTTTTTCTATTCAAATTTATAAATATATATGAGATTTCAACTTCCGATCCGAAGTTAAGTTCCGAAAATAATTCCGATTTGTTTCCGAATTTTGCACTTAGAGTAACAATACTATTATGTATTTTATATATTTTAGGCGACAAAATATTGGAAATTTCCTAATTCTTCGATTTTGATGTGAACTTTTTCAATTTTGGAACAAGTTATTTTTTTCCAATTTCCGAAATTCCGATTTTCGAATTTTCAAATTCTCTTTGGAACAAAATTGTTGGAACTTGTTCTTTTACTTAAGGAAAATATAATTTTTTTTTTTCCAAAAAGGCTAGTTCTCATCCGACCGGTCCGATTTACACCTCTAGGGATGATACAAAGAACAATTTGAATTACAAGCCCAAAAAGATAAATCATGGAACGCAAAGTTAGCATTTCTAGAGACGAATCTGAATTTTCATTTTGGCCAAAGATTGTATTTGGATTCATACTCTTCCTCAGTCTCCGTAATACACGTTATTATTATTCCATTATAAAGATCTAGCATCGGATTTATGACCAAGACTTAGGGTTCTTCATTTTGAGATTTGGACGGAACCCTAATCGGCTTGCAGGCTTTGGAGGCGGCCAAGCTTTCGAGCCATAACTCATCGGCCACGAAAGAGCCGGTGTCGTTGTTGCGGTGCCAAGACCAATGAGCATGCGTGCTATTGAATACCCTCAACCGCGCATGTCCGAAGCTTGGTTCCCTGTAAACCGATATCGAAGGTCTCGGATTTTCGAACCTAATTAACCAATATTCACACACCACCAACAAAATTAGCAAACACAATTTAAAAAAAATAAATAATATATATTTAAAAAAAATATACTATACATTTAAAAAAGTATAATTAGTACTTACGAATTAGCAAGCCCTTCTCTGTTTCCTCCATCACCAATGGTCACATGCACTGGACCACACACATCAGCCTTGTTATTATAAACCCTAGTCTGCATTAATTAACCAAACAAAAATATTCAACCAAAAAATAAAAAAGATAAATCAATTATTGGAATCATATTACTTCAAATTAAAAAAAAAAAAATTAACAAGGTCGCAACAATTTTTATTTATTTGAACTTACGAATCTCTCGTACGCATGAACATGCCCCGTAAACACCGCATCGACTCGCGCCTTGTACAAAACCTCCTCCATGGCCACCCTCATGGCTTCTCCCTCACCCCTATGCGCAAAGTTAGAATTGTACCACGGCGCATGCAACAACGCAAACACCCACGGCGTCCTCCTCCTATCGATGCTCGCCACGTCAGCTTTCAGCCACCTGTACTGGTCCGAGCCGATATAGAAGTCCGCGTAGGACCCGAGCATGATGATGTGGGCCCCGGCCACTTCGAACGAGTAGTACAAGTTCGATGTGGACTTACTCGCTCGGTAGGGCATTAGCCACCTCGTGTTGTAGGCCATGAAAGCGTTGCGGTAAACGACTGGGAGGGTTTCGACCTCGTGGTTACCCTGAGTGACCATCCATGGCCTAGTGCTCGCGTAGGGCTCGACCAGGCGGCCGAACGAGTCCCATAGCGGTTGATCCATGTCGGCGTAGGATAGGTCTCCCGGGAGAAGAAGTACGTCGTAGTCACGTGCACCGATGTGGGATAAGGTTGATACTGTCCATTCTGTTTGACCTAGGTCTCCTGTAATAGAGTAAGGGCTCTTTCGGTTACCACTATTAGGTTCTACTGACTAAATATAGTAGGGACTAATAACATGTTCAGTTGATGAGATTCGTATTTATTCAAAACCGCTACAATAATTAATGATCGCTACTGCATGCTACGAACAATTTCATTAATTTTGTAGCACCCCCACCCCCACACCCGACGATTAAATTTGTAAGGGGTGACTTAAGAGAATTTTATTAAGTGGTTTTAAACTCAATACTACCAAAATTTAACTAATTTAATACGAGAACTAGTCCAATGAACCGAACGTGTTACTATCTAAATAATTAATTAGTCATTAGAAAATTAATCCAATCTTGTGTATAATCCAAGCTAATTTAATATTTGTAATCGAATGATGCATAAGTGTTAGAGATATAAATATCAAATGATTCACTTAGTAAATATTTAAACTTTTAATTGAGCTGATCATTCAACAACTTGAAACAACAATTCTTGACTGATTGGAAAGTAAAAAAGAAGTTATTGAATTAAGCTAACGAGAGTGATTTGAAATTAATAGCAATTGCTAAAAAAAAATATTCAAAATAAGAGCTAATTAAGTAGTTGAAATTAAATTAATTGTATAATAAATTCACCCAAACCAAATTCAATATTAAATCCCTTTGCTATATATAAATTCTGAAATCCCCACATCTAATTATTTCAATTGAAATAAAATCTTAGTGATATAAAGAACCCCTTCCCATTTTCCAACGAAGGCAAATCAATTGGATGCAAGAACTAAAATTGAAAAAAAAAAAAAAAAAAAAGTAATAAAATAAAATTTAACACCAACCGACCGCCACTTTACTTACCGGCAACGGCGAATTCGACCGGAAAAGCCGACGGTGGCGTACGGAAATGGAACTCTGGGCCAGAGCCGCCGCATCTGTAGTAATAAGTGGTGCCTGGATCCAACGGCCCAATTCTCACGTGGTGAATTTGTCCTGACTTGTAAAACAAGTAATGGTAGGAAGTAATCTCTCCGGTGGCAGACAAATTGTATTTCCCACGTGTCTTTCCGTACTGAACTGTTGGCTGGACATTTTTATCTGAAGTAATCCATGAAACCCTAATGTACCCTTTTCCCGACAGTGACACGTGTACCTGATTTTTTTTTTCAAAAATAATGAATTTAATTAAATTAATTATTTGAATGATTAAATATTGTACGTGTGGAAAATGTGAACGAGGTTTGACCTGTTGAGGGTCCGAATCGGACCCGCTATGCTGCCGGAGAACGAGTGGACGAGGACCTGGACGGGTATATTCCGGCGAGGCCGCGGTTGTGAGAAGGAATAGGAGGAAGAGATGTGTGAATAATGTTACCATTTTGGAAATACAGAATTATAATTAATTAATAATATATAATGAAGAGTCAATTGTTTGAGGGAATGTATGTATTATATATGTGTATCAATTCTTTGAAGAATTCAGACAAATTATAAGATGACTATATAAAACAATTATACTATGATTTTCAATAGCGTGAAGAAACTGAATTGGGGCATGTACTTATGAAATAAATGGACATGTAGTTGTTGAGATTTTTATTGGTCTGAGATACGAAATAATTAAAGCATAAATAGATATAGATTTATTAATTTTATCTTAGAACATTTGCTATAAAAATAATTAATCCACGTTACTATATTCCATTGTATACACCAAATTTAAATTGCAATTGCATTCACACACGCAAGCAGTAGTAAAATGTTTTTTTTTTCATTTTTCTTTTTGCATTATCTTCTATATAAAAGTGTTACCAAATGTATGACTATTTTAAATCAATTCAAATTTTCCCTTACTCCAATATATATATATATATATATATATATATATATATATATATATATTACATTTATGAGCAAGATTTATAGTTCATCATTTCGAGATTTCGTACAAGTTCCCTTGCAGGCTTTGGAGGAGGACAAGCTTTGAAGCCATATTTGGTCGGCCATGATCGAGTCTTCGTCGTTGTTGCGGTGCCAAGACCATTGCGCGTGCGTGCTATTGAATAACCTCAACCGCCCATGCCCGAAGCTTGCTTCATTGTAAAGCGAGATCGAAGGGCTAGGGTTTTCGAACCTATAATATTTAACCAACATCAATTAATTCACACACCACCAACAAAAAGTACTATGCTTGTAGTATCAATCTATTAATCAAATATTATTTATCTCCTCATTTATAAAAAGGAAAAAAAAAATATCTTGTAATTTTTTACGGGTGTTTTTAGAAACTAAAAAGAAATTGAAGGATGATTAACTAATTTTGTCCTAAAAATATAAAAAGGATAAATTAGAGGTACTTACAACATTGCCAGTCCTTCTCTATTTCCTCCATCACCAATGGTCACGTGCACAGGACCACATTCATCAGCCTTGTTATTATAAACCCTAGTCTGCATATTAATATCATCAAACAAAATTCATTTATTTAATTTGGTTGTTAACTATGTTATATTGAATTGCTAAAATGTTGTCCATCTTATTCATATTAGCAAAATTGCCCTTATAGTTCTTTTTTTTAGCACACAACCCCTAAATTAAATACTGAGTTTTCAGGGGATGGTTTGCTAAAAAAAATCGAATTATAAGCGTACTGTTGCTAATAAAAATAATTAGTACTCTTTTTGCTTAATTAGGTCATGAATTTTCGCTTACGAATCTTTCATAGGCATGCACATGCCCCGCGAAAACCACATCGACTCGCGCCTTGTACAACACCTCCTCCATGGCCACCCTCATGCTCTCCCCCTCGCCTCTATGCGCGAGATTCGAATTGTACCACGGCGCGTGCACAACCACAAACACCCACGGCGTCCTCGCCCTATCGATGCCCGCCACGTCAGCACTCAGCCACCTGTACTGATCCGAGTCAGCATCAAAGCCCGTGTAGGACCCGAGCATGATGACATGGGCCCCAGCCACGTCGAACGAGTAGTATAGGTTTGAGGTGGACTTGCTCTCGCGGTAGGGCATTTGCCACCTGGCGTTGTAGGCCATGAAACCGTGTGGAAAGACGAGTGGGAAGGTTTCGACCTCGTGGTTGCCCTGGGTGACCATCCACGGCCTAGCGCTTGCGTAGGGCTCGACTAGGCGGCCGAATGAGTCCCATAGCGGTTGATTGGTGTCGGCGTAGGATAGGTCCCCGGGGAGGAGAAGTACGTCGTAGTCACGTGCACCGATGTGGGCTAGCGTTGATTCGGTCCATTGTGTTTGACCTAGGTCTCCTATACAATTAATGGTCCATATATATGTTATCAATAATTTTCAATAAATAAAAGATAAAATAAGTATTTAATTTAATATAATATTTATAATTATAAAGTAAATTTATTCAAATAAATTCAATAAAATTGTTATGATAAATGTAAATTCAATTAAAAGTGTAAAGTATTTTTTTTTAATAAAATGTTGCTTCCAAGCTTCCCACTACTCCACTCATTAATTCACTGTTATAACAAACTTAAAAGTGAATTAAAAACGGCACGCAAGCAATAAAAATTAAAATTGGGCCGCCACCACCACCTACCGGCGACAGCGAATTCCACCGGAAAATCCGACGGCGGCGTACGGAAACTGAACTCCGGCCCGTGACCACCGCATCTGTAGTAGTAAGTTGTGGTAGGCTCCAACGGGCCGATTCTGACGTGGTGAATTTCGCCTGAACTGTAGAGGAAGTAACGGTAGGAAGTATTTTCTCCGGTGGCTGACGTGTCATATTTTCCCGGCGACTTTCCGTATTCAACAATTGGTTGAACCTTTTTGTCTGTAGTTATCCATGAAACCCTAATGTAGTTATCTTTCCCTGCCAATGATATATGTACCTGATAATTTGAAAAAAAAAAAGAAAATCGAATTTATTTAAAGTATTATTTATTAATTTCAGAAAAATGCAAACGCGCGTTTGACCTGTTGCGGGTCTGAATCGGGCCGGTCATGTTTCCGGAGAACGAGCGGCCGAGGATCTGGACGGGTATATTCCGGCGAGGCGGTGGTTGTAAGAAGGAAGAAGAGGAAGATATGTGGGAATAATGTTGTTTCCATTATTTGAAAGTATACTATGTTTATGTGGACGGTCTGTTGTATCTATATATATGTATATGTATACGTGTGTTGTGTATATATAAAGTGTGAGGGTTCAAATTATTGAGACGAGAAAGAAAACAAACAGAAAAGAGTATGTATAAAGTAATACTTTGATTTGCAATAGCGTGAAGAAACTCAATTCGGACAATTTTCGGATATGCTTACGACAATTGAATAAACTACATGTTTACATGTACTAGTAATTAACGGCTGTGATTGCTTTGACATAATCTACCTAGCTGATCATTAATTCACACACAAAAAAAAAAAAAAAAAAAAGACCGAGTCTAAAATAAATTGATATGTACTTAAGAATTAAGATAGTTATTGGACTAGTAATTAATATTTGAAATAATATAAACCTATATATAGATAAATTAGAAGTATTAAATTTAGTATCGGGCATTAATATATTAATGTCACACATTTGGTCCATCATGCTCTTTTAAAGCCATTTGAAAATTGAAACCAACGGAAAATGCAATGTGCAAGGCACGTGACCACAATTAGGGCTGAAATTGAAATTAATCGGTTATCCAATTCTTGGATTGAAGATTGACAAATTATGCATTAGAATAAAGAAATAAACAAATGGCAAACGGCATATTCTTTTTTTTTTTTTTTTTTATAACAAGGAATATGCAATCAATCAATAAATCTATATTCTTATATAATAGTTTGTAAACAATACTACTACTAGAAATTTAATGCGTAATTAGGGTCAATTGACCTAAGCAACTATTGATAAGATGGTTCAAAATTTGGTCAATTGACACGAGCTCTCTTGCTCAAATCGTTAAGTCATGATGCATCCCTTGCGGGACGCAAACGGCATATTCAGCTACTAGCAAGGCATTACGATTCACGATCCAAAATTCGTGGAGGTACAAAATATTAATTTATTTTGTTTACCACTTATCAGAAACCATAGCTGAAAAAGACCGTTAATTCAAACCAAGAATCAGCTTAGAATATTCTTGAAATGTTCCATTGTCAAAAGATAACACGTGTATGACAGATCACAACGTTGTAGCATTAGTATTGTAAAATCGGCATCAGCCAATCGATGCCTAGCTAGTAACTTGTTCAAAACTGTAAATTGGACAATTTTTATTTTTAATTATCTATGTTTGAAGTTTCGTGAAGTTAAGGAAGAAGCTTCATCACGTTGTAGTGATATATATTATATACGTGGTCGGCAATTAACTAACCATGTTTCTCGTTCGTTGGTTATATGAATTCGGTCAATATTTATATATTATAATAATCTCACCCTCAATTTTGTATAATCAATTATATATACTGGTTTGACATATATTTATTCGGGTATTTTTATTTGTCAAATTTGGAATATGCTTAGATGATTCCGTTTATAAAGTTCAAAAGCATGATCACTTAATTAAGAATTTATTTTTATTTTTTTTATTTTTGGAATTGAGCCAGAATTAGCTTTTCACTGCAATTTTTTTTTTATAGAATTTTTCTAATTCTTATTTCCACCCTTTAGTAGCAAAAATTATGGTCCAACATATTTTTAGTTTCCTATTTCATATTTCTATAATTGCACTTGCGTGAGTCGTGACATATTTATGATTTTGGAGATGCTACATCTTATGTAGTACACCGGAAAATTATTAACCGTTGATGTGTTAAAATAACTTCTCAATAAGCACACAAACATATGGGTGTGTTTGTGATTGTGTGCAGATCAACGGTTAATATATAATCACCCAGTGTAGCATCAAACAAACCCATATTTATCAACTAGGCCCTCAATTTTTTCTCGTGACGTTTCATTTGTTGCATTTTTCTTTTATCATGTTTAATTTGAGTTAATTGCACATAACCCCCTGTGTAATTTTGAATTGCTGAAAAAACACTCATGTTAAAAAAAATAGCAAAGAACCCCCTGTGTTATGATTTACAAAGCACACCGTCCCCTATTTCAAAATTGGCCGTTGACTTGCATGAAATGACCGAACTACCCTTAATATTTTTTTAATAATATTTGTATTTTAAATAAACAAAATGCAAACAGAAATATACTAAATAAAAAAACTCAAAACAAAAAGTAATAAATTATCACGCACCCCAACCGTCTTCTCCACCCACCCACGGAAATCCTCTTCCACAGACCTCTGCCGCCGCACCAGCAGCTCATCCGCTTTAACACACACAAATTCACACACTCGACTTTAATTTATCTATCCTAGGTTTCTTAATTTATCAAATATCTCCGCCGGCTGCGCAGCTCCCTCGCCCGCCTCCACCGCATCCTTGCCGTCGTCCACCGCTCTTCCCATCGCTTCTCTTTCCACCCCTCCTACGACCACGCAACCGTCCGCCGCCTCTTCCTCATTTTACTTGACGAACTCTTTCCCTCCCCCCAAACAAACTTCTTCATTTTGAAAACTATTTAAAAAAATTCGTTTGAGATCTCGTTTTAACAGAATGTCGAGGGAGAAATTTTAGTGCGGTGTATTGCGATTCCTGATAATATGGATAATTTGTATAGCTGCAGATGCGGTCCAAATCTTCTGAAATGGTGTGGCGAAGACGATTTTTTTGGGTCCGGAAAGAAAAAGGCTGAATCTTGAGTTTGAAGAGGGCATTTCTGAAAGTATTAGGGACTGAATTTAAAAAAAATTGAAAACTTCATTCTGGGCATATGAAAATTTTAGGGTGAATTTGTGAATTTCGAAATTTCTAATTGAAAGGGTACTCGGGTCTTTTCAAGTCCAAAAACACACGCCTAGTCGCACAAACCGCGAGTGTATCCCACGCCGGACTCGCAGGGACTTTATTGCCTTTGACTAATTTTCATAGGGGGGTTTGTGCTAATTTTTTTAACATAGGTGTTTTTTCAGCAATTCAAGATTACACAAGGGTGGTTCTTGCAAAAAAACCCTGTTTAATTTATCTCAATTTCTTCTTTGATAACTTCGTAAAGATTATTTAAAACCAATTGATGTCGGTTGATTTGGATTCCCAGTTTCACTTCAAATGCAAATTTGAATAAAGTCACTTTTTCTAATTATTATATCTATGAAGTTAAAATTGTAATGTTGTAGAGAATTCGTGAAAATTGTAATTAAAACTTATTACATTTATATTTATATAATATTATCTAGAGAATTCGGGATCTATTTATCTATATCAATTCTCCCATTGTAATTTAGTGGAAGGGTTAAATAACACCTTTGCCATTTATCTATAACCAATTTAACACTTTTCTCTTTTGAATTTCAACTGCAAATGTGAACACAAAGAGCATCAGATACTTTTAGAGAAGGAGATCAGTAAAAATTAAATGCTGAATAAATTAAAATTTAAAAACAAAGGAACTCTTTCACTCGAAAATGGCAAAACTGCATCAAGATTTATTGAACAATTCTCTCTTTGTCCCCCCCAAAAAGATCATAAAAAGTTTCTCTCTCTCTCTCTCTCTCTTGAACAATTTTCTCTTTGTCCCCCCAAAAAGATCATAAAAAGTTTCTCTCTCTCTCTCTCTCTCAATGGCGCCAATGATCCACATTATAATTTCAATGATGGCTATGGCTTCACAATTTTGTGGAGTTTTCGCTCTTTTTACGTCTTGGAATCGAACCCGTTTGCCGCTCTCTCCAAGATCACCACAACAGGTTATAATAACCTAATGCTATACCCTTTTTTAGGGCTTTTGTTTATATCAACAATCATATTATCTCGTATTTTATTTGATTGCGACAGTTAGTAGTCATGATTAACTAAATAATATGATTTTATTTGATGTTAAGTAAATCCAATAATTCTGAAGTCGACCTATGGCCTATTTTGTCTTTTAGAGAGATTATTTATCGAATCTCCTATGGTCAATAATACAGTTGAAGTTTTATTATATTGTTTAACTTTATACTGGCTAATTTTGTCTTACGAACCAAAGGGGGACCAAGAGTATTAAATGCCTTAGTTTTTATCGATGATGCAGGTGCACATATCGTTGAGTGGTCCGAACCACATGAGAATATCATGGATAACACTAGTTCGTACTCAAGCAACGGTGTACTACGGTACTTCTCCGGGGAATTGCAATCTTTCAGCAAATGGGAATTCAAATATCTATCACTACCTAAGATACGATTCTGGAGTAATACACGATGCCGTCATCGGCCCTTTAAATCCAAACACGCTTTATTACTATCGTTGTGGCAATGAGTCTTCTAAAGAGTTCAACTTCAAAACTCCGCCTCACACATTTCCTATCAAATTCGCAGTCGTAGGTACGCCTAACTATAGCTAAAAAACAACGAAAAAATATTTATGATCTGTAAATTAAGGCTTCGTTTGGTTGGGGAGATCAGTCATGATTAATTAAATAATTGGACTTTATTTAATGTTTGGTAACCCCAATAATTTCCGGGGTCACCTGAAAGTATTATTTTATTGGACCTTCTGGTTTAATAAAATAATTGAATTTTTCTTAGAGGCTGAGCCTATTTTGTCAATCTAACGGGGGCCTAACATTATAGGCTTATACAGGTGATCTTGGACAAACCAAGTATACCAATTCAACACTCGACCACATTGCCAAATCAAATTACGACATACTAATATTGCCCGGAGACTTATCCTACGCCGATATGTACCAGAAAAAATGGGACACGTTCGGGCGCTTCGTGGAGCCGCTAGCGAGCAAGCGGCCATGGATGGTAACGCAAGGCAACCACGAGAAGGAGAGAATCAAGGGCGTTCATCGTAGCAGATTCACTGCTTACAATGCAAGATGGGTTATGCCTTATGAGGAGAGTGGCTCTACTTCAAACTTGTACTACTCCTTCGAAGTTGCAGGGGTCCATGTCATCATGTTGGGCTCGTACGCTGATTTCGAGCCCAATTCGGACCAATATCGTTGGCTGCTGGCCGATTTGAAAAAAGTGGATCGGAGAAGAACGCCGTGGCTTATTGGTGTTGTACATGCACCGTGGTACAATACCAATGAAGCACATCAGAGAGAATACGAAGGTGAGGGAATGAAGAAGGCGATGGAAGATGTGTTCTTTAAAGCTCGTGTTGATGTGGTTTTCGCGGGTCATGTACACTCATACGAACGTTTTGTAAGCCATCTTTTTTTCTACTTTTAGCATCGTCGTTTCTTCGCGTTGAAACTAGCACGAAATTAAAAACATTGTTGTAATTATCCGATTTCTTACCTAGCTTGAAATGTTATATACATAGGTACGCACGTACAAGAATGAAGCAAATGAATGTGGTCCGGCGTACATCGTCACAGGAGCTGGAGGAAATCGGGAAGGCCTTGCTCGAAGGTATATATATGTTACATATTAATTATTTTAAAATTAACATATATAGTACATTGTTCTAGTCATTTATGACATGTTGCTAAGGAAACATGTACGTACAGTTAAACCTCTATAAATTAATACAGTAGGGACTAGCAAAATTATATTAATTTAGCGAAATATTAAATTATCGAACTAATAATTTAGTAGGTTTTTACCGAGTTGGGACCAGAAAAAACTATTATTTAAGCGAGATTATTAATTTATCGAGTATTAATTTATTGAGGTTGTATTGTATATATACACAGGTTTATTTTACCACGGGCGAAAGTGTCGGCTTTTAGGGAGCCAAGATTTGGGCATGGACAGTTTTCAATATTAAACGCAAGCCATGCGGTGTGGACATGGCATAGGAACGAAGAAAACGTTGCCATTGCATCTGATAAAGTCTTGCTTAGAAGTCTTTCATCTGTTCCGGCTTGCTACAAATCGTGAGCATCGAAAAATCGAGAGTTTGCAAACAATTTATAGTGAAGGAGATCAATTAAAATCATTAATAAATAATTTTAATTAGCATTCTTTTGTGATGCTTATTTTCCCAGAAATATAAAATAATAAAAAGATGGGAACTTTGATTTCAAATAAGATCATCTGTTCTAATGGTGTTTCATTTCCATTTATAGTTAATAAAAGAATATAACACGCTTAACTACGCGTAAAGTACTGTACCGTTGGAACAAAAGATCGTGTGAATTAGCCTTTAAATGTACATGCCTGATAAGGTGTAACGTTTAATGTGTAGAGATATAACGGTAACTTTATTATAGTGACGAGCTAAAATAAACTTTACAGAGGATGACTAATTAAGTTATCTATATATTTGTCGTCGTCCCCCATTTTCCGATCACGCAATCAAGATTTTATACGTTGTGTACTCCATTGAGAGAAATCTCGAAGATTTTTTGTGTTGGAATTGGGAATTTATTCATGTCAGTTCCAACATTTTAACATTTTTTTGGTTTATTACTATGTGACACAATTCTAATTAAATATAAATTGAATTTATGGGTAATTACCATGTATTTTCTGAACACATTTATGTTTCTTGGTTTGTCATGTTGACTACTAGGGGCGAAAGTTGAAACAACTCTTTGAATTCCGTCGATTTCGATCACTAAAATTTTGAACTTTGGAATAATATTATTCATTCGGAATTCCAAAAATTCGAGTTTTTAAATTTTCCTTTTTTTTTTTTTGAATTGGGGTTGAAATTATATATGAAATTCCTATCTGATTTCAATATCCAAAAACAATTTTCGATCTGAAATAAATGTTCTTGTTCCATTTCAAAAATTCCAATTTTTTTTTTTTTTTTTGTTTCTGAAGCCCAACTTATTTAAGTTAAAAATCTTTCGGTCCATAAAGATTATATTCAGCCCAAACATCAATTAGTTAAGTTTGAGAGACTGCAATAGGTTTTTCACTCGTTTTTTTAATTCTTTTTTCCTTTTTCTTTTTCCTATTTTTTTTTTTAAATTACGTACATTGACTTAATTTTGATTGAGTCGACTTTTAATTAACTCTCCACTCACTAATAACTTAATGGGGCCTTTAGCAATAAACCCCTTGGATGAATAATAAATAGTGATATGTCCAACCCTTAAATCTTCCTTTGTGATAACCCCCTAGAAATTTTAATTCCAATACTACCCTTAAGAAATTATAAAATTTCCTACCCAATAATTCATCCCACCTTCCTTAATAATAGCCAATATAATAGGAATATTTCCCACTCAATATGCTGCGTGTGTGTGTGTATATATATATATATATATATATATATATATATATATATATATATATATATATATTTTTTTTTTTTATAAATTCTTTTTAAACGAAAATATCGAATTTTTCCCCCGATAATTTTACTACGCCGAATATGACTATAGTCGAATATGACTATAGTCTAATATGACTATATGTGACTATATAACCTGTAGTCATATTCTTTCTTTATATTGTCATTTTTATATTTTCAACTTAATAATTCTGATTATATAGTAGAGTACATTTATTTTTACCAAATTATATATAAAAAAACGAAAATTGCACGAAAAGAAAAATACAATTTGAATCTTATTATTACATATCAACTTGAATGAGAACATAGAACATATATTTGAATATTACTACAGTCACATTCAACAATAGTCATATTCGAATATGACTATATCATGTTACTGTTAATTTTTTATGGGAGATAGTTCTTCGAAATGCTCGGGGATGTCCTTGTTAATTCCTCTTGAAGACTGTGCGGCAAATTCCATCAAAATTGTAGCAACAAGAAGCAAATCTGTATGAACCAAACTCAAATTCATAAAACAAAAGGCAATGAGAAAAAAGACAAAAAAAAATGCAGATGCTAAATTAACATAAACATACTACATTCATTAACATAAACACCCCAGCCCCAATTAAATTACCATATTAATTACCTCTTCCTCCACCACGAGGGACTCAATTACCACCATTTATCTAATCTTGTTACTATCCCATCATTCAGACAAAACAATAATTATTAGAGATTACGATTTGGATGAGAATCTGAAATTCATAGAAGTAGAGAAAACACCAAATTTCAAGATTCCCTATTGTTTACGAAAACAATCCAATCAACATCCACACAAAAAAACATAATTTGAAACGAGAAGATAGAACATACTCAAATATGACTACAATAATATTCAACAAATAGTCATATTCGAACATGGCTATAGTCATGTTTAATCTAAAACTCTATATTCAGATCTGGAGAAAAAAATTAATAAATAAATAAATAAAACGTATTTGTTTTCCCTTTCAATTTCAATTGCAACTTGAAATCAAATTCATTTGCAAAAAAATAAGAGCAAAAAAAGAAGAAATTAAACACATGACACCTCATGGTTGATTCTGCAGATTTTCACAAAATAGAATCGAACCTTGGCGGCAGTAGCAGGCTAGCAGCAGCACTTGCGGTGGAGGACTCAACAACCGCGGTTGCGCCCTCAGATCGGGAATTTCACCGCCGCCGCCTTTTCCACCGCCTCCCGCGTCGTTGTCGTTTCTCCACCGTTCGTCGATTTGCGTGCACTTGCCTAGCAGTCGCACCTTCTCCGGCCGCCATAGTCAGCCTCCCATCGCCGACGCCGAGAGAGATTGAGAGGAGATAGATACGGATATTAATTGTGACAGAGAGAAAAACGAGAATTGTGGGTTTGAGATCTAGGGTTGTGATGTGTACTAAAAGGGTAAAATAGGGATAACATATTTTTAAGGGGGGTCTCACTAATTTAAATTGACATGTGGGTTTTGAAAAAAGTCTTCAAAGTCAATTGGGTTTAGTTCAAAATATTTTTCATTTGAGGGGGTTATTGCATATTTCCCCTAACTTAATTATTTATTTAACTAGTAAGAAGTTTGATTCTTATGCTATCTACTATTAAAATTGTTAAATTCTAGTATTAAACGTAATTTCTTAAAACATCTCTAATTTAACAATGATCACTTCATAATATGTACTATTTTAAGAATAATGTTTTCCGGTCACTCGATATAAAATTAATCACCTGAAAAATTGAGAGTGCAACCACTCTTTTTATTAGTTATTAAGTGATTATTAGATATGGCGATGGGAATATACCCACCATGTACCCACCAGGGGATTACCAGATAAACCTAGAACAAGGTGGGGCGGATCAGAGCTGGTACTTGTGGCATGTGGGGCGGGTTAAATTGCCATCCCTAGTGAGGAGTGACTACCAAACGATTTAAGAATCAAACAAGACGTAAATCAATGAATAAATTGAAAGAGCTTTTGTGATTAAGGGTGGCTTTTATGATGTATATGCTAGAAAATACATAGTTTATTAATTATAGATAGTGTTATTAGAATATATAATTAAGGCATTGATAATGTTGGAGGAAAGGTAGACATGACTTACAAAAAGTTGATCACGTTGTAAAATCTTAGATTTTTAAGACTTAAAACAAGTAGCTACATAGATATTCACTTTTAACTTCAAAAGTTATTAATTCTTTTAATCAATTTCATCATGGTGGTAGATGTGATACTTATATTATATATATAAACAATCAATTGTGCAATTTATGAATTCGCTAAAGTTATACTCTATCATATAAAAGAATTTATAATTTACACGTAATAAGTAAAGAAAATGACAATTACACACGACAATTATAGGGGTAGAAATGGAAATTTCGAACAATTATTGTTCAAAGTTTAAAACAAATTATGTTATGACGAGGTGAGAGAGAAAATGCGAGGAATTGATATATCTTATTTATTAATTTACTTTAAATATTTTTTGAAACATGCTTCTATTCACAAAACATATTTTGAATTTCCGTACTATTATTTACTCCGGTAAAATTACTCGTAATTATAAATGGAAATTGATAAAAAAAAAAAAAGCTACATATCTCTAAGTTATATCATGTTTATAAAAAAAATGTTACACATTATTTCTTTTAAGTTATATCACAATTATATTTGTAATACTATTTTTTTTTTATAAGATATATTTGTAATACTATATATCTACATAAAATATTTTTTGATCAAATAAACAATTATAATAATACATGCAAATGTAATTAGCCAATTAAAGTAACATTTAAATTATATAGTAGATGAATAATACAATAGAATATATAAAATGATTAAAAATGATCGTTCATTGACTTACAGTTCGATTCATAAAATCCCAATTAATGAGTCTCAGAATTTCAAATTACTAATTATGACTATAGAGAATTACGCATATATAAATTTGCGTTTGATCCCACACGTGCGAGAAATGGACGGACAGGATGAAACCCTGGCTTAAAAAAAACAAAGAACAAAATAGCTTTCAATCAATCTAGTCCATCCAATCTTGACCGTCAGACCAAAAACAAAAAGTCTTTTATGATCAGAAGATCAAAATGGAAAAAAGGAAAATAGAAAAAAGCGAGTTGCAGAAGTTTTTTCATCTAAATTGGGTGGTCCCCATTTAATAATCAGTGCCCTCCCGTATTTATTAATTTTAATAATTGAATAATTTAATAATTAGTAATTGTAAGCTCACGTGTAGGGGTTCAATGCACCATCATGTAATTCCATCATTAGCCTTGCAGGGATTGTTATAATTTGAAATCATTAGAATTTTACCTCAGAAAATAAATTAAAATAAAATTAAATAAATAAAGTAGAATAAAGGGTTTTTGAAGGAGTTGATGAGGTCACACTGCATGGGCTGATGGTTCTTAGCTATAAAGTAAATATATTTACATTCAAAGGCTTTTTCACATGTAACAATTATTCCCAATTGGAATTTAATTACATGGTTCAATTATGTGCTATATTAATCATATTAACCAAGTAGATGACCAAGTTACTTTGCTTGTAATGTGACTAACTCAATATATATATATGTGTTACATCGTATGTTGGTTCGGTCAAACTTGATTTTTGATGAATTATTTGCTTGCTGTTGAAGATCAACGATCAATCATTCATTAGTCACTGGACTGAAAATGAACTGAAACTGTGAAATTGAAATTAAAACTGGACTGAACTGAAACTGGAATTGGAACTGAACTGAAACTGAAACTGAAACTGAAACTGTGAATTTGAAACTTGATTGAAACTCGAATTGATATCTATAACACAA